ATAATAATAATAATAATAATAATAATAATAATAATAATAATAACAATAATAATAATAACAATAACAACAACAACAAATAGGTCTGGGTCCTAATTTATTGACACGGAAAAGTCGTTAACTAAAGGTGTTTTTCATCAAGGCCGTGCAAGACGATTAGTGGTAAAATAGAAAAATACAAGATATGCAATATTGAACCATAAACAAAAATTATTAAATGACAAATTAAATAGGACGGTCGTACTCACGCGAATAAGCGCCCGGGGCATAAAATATTTTTGGCTCTTTTTGAGGGGCGCTTATTCAAACGGGGCGCTTATGAAAAGAGAGTGGAAATTAGAGGAGCTTATGGAAATAAATGAAATAAGGGATTCTTATAGGAATAGATGCGAATGCTGATGCAGAAAATTAAGCTGGTGATGTACTGTATTATAGAATTTTTTTCAAGAGGGGCGCTTATGTTTCTATATACCCATTTAAAATTACACAACATAGCACCATGGTTCGTTAAACTCCTTTTTTATATTCAGTTTTAGGTTAATTTTCAATAATAAGACATCCATTGTTCTTGTATTGTATTGTGGGTTTCTTAAAGTGGATCTGTTCCTAAGATATGATAGCGCTAAACCATGTAGTATTTTCAACATAGTAATAGCCTCATTAGAAAAGTTTTGTTTCAAGGTTTACCCATTTATAATCCTGTACTGCTTGGGAACTTGATTCATTACTTGTTTTTTGTTTTGTTTAAAGTAATCTTTGCTGCAGGTTTTGGAGAACTTGTAATTTGTTATTTAGTGTTTTATTAGTTCTACCCGACACCACACAACATTGCAGTAATCAAAATGTGAGGCTATTTATTAAAGTTGTATACATGGGATTTTATCAAGTACAGTAATACAAGCCAGGAATGACTTTATTTTATCATAATCTGTTTGTTTCTCCCAAGATAAATCTACATCAATATAAACACCTAGATGTTTACAACTTTGCACCCAAGCGTTCACCAACAATATGAATGTTTAGATCTGTAGGCCTAGTCGTTAATTTTGCTAATTTTTTGAGTGTGCCAATAAAATAGGCACACATTCAGTGGCGAGGTGGACGGACAGAAAAGCAGAAATCACAAGCGATCTTAATGTATGAGAGTTCGTTTTATTGAACACCATTCAATTCTGTGAAGATTGAATAAACATAGATAGTAGATATTAAAATCACTACACATCAGTTGAATCTCTCATAAAATACAAATAAAATATATAAACTATTAAATTAATAAATGATAACATATTTACTCAACAGTCAATGAATCCAGCATTGTGTAAAATACAGTTAATCTGTGTGATTAATTAAAATCATGGCTTGTATAACATGGTATAGTTCAGTAATTAATCAGCATGGTAATTATTCATGAATAATTTCTTACAGTGGTAATGTTAATCTTAATCATTGTAACCAGTACACTATTATTAATCTAAACATACAAACATATACAAACATACACAAAGCATGTAAAAACTTACTACTTTGACCGGATGTGATTACACCATTTAACAAGTAAACCTCAT